GACCTCGATAGAGGAGATTACTAGTAACCTAACTATCAAAATTAAAAGCTTCTAGGTCTTAAGCTGTAGGAGATATAAGAATTTGCGGTTTGCCACGCCCCTTTAGGGCGGAGATAAATCATCATAGCTCGTTGGAGTTGGGAAGTCAACTTGCGTATATATACCAAATTTCAGGTCTCTAGCATCAATTGTGCCTAAAATATAGCAGAATTTGAAAAATCACTATATCTCCACGTCCGATTTGCAGCGCCCCTAGTAGGCGTAGATATATTATTTTTCCAGACATCTTTAAAGAATCAAAAGCTTTCTCGCTCTTCAACTTACATGATTTATGGCATATCGGAAAATGCAGTTTGTTTGTATGCGTGTGTGTGTGCGAATTATTATTGAAATATCAGTCGCTGCTTACTGCGCAGTTAGCAGAGCGCGTTCAAATACGAGCGTGTGTATGTATATGTCCCTAAAAGAAGTGCAGAGTGATTAAAATATCAGATTGGAGGGTTCAGAATATCTCCTAGTTGAGCAGTTCGACTAGAGTCTTCTTACTTGTTAATTTAATTTTTTTTAATAATGTTGAATATTTATACGCTTTATTTTTATAAAAAAAGTTTTAAAAGTATATATATATATATATTCGTTTTACAATCGAATGGGAAAGTTTTAAAACATCAATCATACATCGATGCATCGAATTTTCAATCCGATGTAACTATCCAACATCGATGCTTGATTTTGAAAATCATTTCATTAACAAAGATTAATAGTTTCGGGAGTCAACTGTGTAGCCTTGACCATGTCCTTTATCCTGGCATTTGTACGCTCTACCCACAAGATAGCATAAGTGTAAGTTCCACTATGGTTTATTTCATTTATACATGTATATGTAATGTATATATCATAATTTGATTAGCATAAACTATGTATTTATTTAAAATATGTATATTCTGCAAGGCTTCGCGTAACGTTCCCATGGACATCGACAGTTCAGCTACTGATTCCAAATCCCACATATGAGACATGCAGCAAACCGCCTCAAATATCACAACTGTTAATAACAAGCTATACAAAATACATATAAATATAAATACATATAAAATACATAAAAAAAAAATAAAATAAAAAAAACCTTAAATAACACTTTTCGAGTATCGTCTTAGCTAGAGGGGACTTTAGCAACTGGGACACTTGACCAAGCCAACTTCATCGCAGTTCATGCACTTGAGGGCCACGAATTCAGCGGTGAAGTGATTCCGGTGCACTGACTTCTTGGAGCCACTGCACGAGGGGCAGGGCAGCAGTCGGTAGCCGCCGCAGGTCTGGCAGGTGTAGGTCGTAGCTAACGACTGAACGGGAGGATATCAAAACGTTAGTTACACAACAAAAAAAAAGTTGCTTGGCTCACCTTATAGGGTCGCAGCAGTTGTCGCAACTCTCCGCTCTCATTCAAACGTTCCACTGTGTCGGCATCCTGCAAAGTCAAAGATTAGTCTGTATTTTGTATTTTCTAGAAAGCGAAGCACCTCCCGCATACTTACACCGATGTGCTGTCCCTCGACGAACAGCTGCGGCACTCGTATCGTCTCGTGATGCATGCGGTCCCGTATCTCCTGCTGGTATTCGATGCTCATGAACACATCCCGCTCCTCGAACTTGACGAGCAATGTGCGCAGTATCTGTTTGACATTGGCGCACTTGGCATACGTCTCTCTGATGATGCCCATGCTCGTTGTATACAGCACAACCTTGCCCAGGTCCTTTTCCATGTAGTTCTATAGAAAGCAGATGAACAAAACTCACATATTTAAGAACAGAATACAACCAAAATAAAGGCATGCTATAATCACACATCTCGTTGACCTTGTAGCACTGACACAGACTAAGACTGTATTTATATATATTGACTATATGCTGTAACTTTTTGCTAACTGTGCCAGAAACTTGAGCATAGCCGACTGAAGTCTAACCAACCCAAAAACAAGTCAATCGAGACTGCTCGACTAGGAGACACCCCGAATCCTCCAAAATGGGAAATCAGGGTATGATGTTTTTGTGTAAAAGTATGTAACAGGCAGAAGGAATCATCGCAGACCCCACAA